CTCTACAAGGAAAGCTACAAAACATTGCTGAACTAAATCACAGATGATACAAGCAAATGGAAACACATCCCATATTCATGGATGGGTAGAATCAATATTGTGAAAATGACCATACTGCCAAAAGCAATCTACAAATTCAATGCAATTCCCATCAAAATATTACCATAATTCTTCACAGACCTAGAAAAAAACAATCCTAAAATTCACATGGAACCAAAAAAGAGCCCACATAGCCAAAGAAAGACTAAGCAAAAAGAACAAATCTGGAGGCATCGCATTACCTGATTTCAAACTATACTATAAGGCCATAGTCAACAAAACAACATGGTATTGGTATAAAAATAGGCACATAGACCAATGGAACAGAATACAGAACCCAGAAATAAATCCAACTGATCTTTGACAAAGCAAACACAAACATAAAGTGGGGAAAGGACACCTTATTCAATAAATGGTGCTGGGATAATTGGCAAGCTATATGTAAGAGAATGAAACTGGATCTTCATTTCTCACCTTATACAAATCAATTCAAGATGGATCAAGGACTTACATCTAAGACCTGAAACTATACTAGAAGATAATATCAGAAAAATCCTTCTAGACATTGGCTTAGGCAAAGATTTCAGGACCAAGAACTCAAAAGCAAATGCAATAAAAAGAAAGGCAAATAGGTGGGACTTAATTAAACTACAGAGCTTTTGTATGGCAAAAGAAGAGTCAGCAGAGTAAACAGACAACCCACAGAGTGGAAGAAAAGCTTCATAATCTATACCTCCGACAAAGGACTAATATCCAGAATCTACATGAACTCAAACAAATGAGCAAGAAAACAAACCAAACAATCCCATCAAAAAGTGGGATAAAGCCATTAATAGTCAATTCCCAAAAGAAGATATACAAATGGCCAACATATAAAAAAATGCTCAATATCACTAATCATCAGGGAAATGCAAATCAAAACCACATTCCAAAACCACCTTACTCCAACAAGAACGGTCATAATAATAAAAATAAATAGATATTGGTGTGGATGCAGTAAAAAGGGAATGCTTCTACACTGTTGCTTGGAATGTAAACTAATACAACCACTATGGAAAACAGTGTAGAGATTCCTTAAAGAATGAAAAGTAGAACTACCGTTTGATATAGCAATCTCATTACTGGGTATCTACTCAGAACAAAGTAAGTCATTATATGAAAAAGACACTTGCACATGCATGTTTATAGCAGCACAATTTGCAATAGCAAAAATGTGGAACTGGCCCAAATGCCCATCAATCAATGAATAAAGAAACTGGGGCCAGGTGCTGTGGCTCATGCTTGTAATCCCAGCACTTTGGGAGGTCGAGGTGGGCAGATCAACTGAGGTCAGGAGTTTGAGACCTGCCTGACCAACATGGAGAAACCCCATCTCTACTAAAAGTATAAAAATTAGCTGGGCGTGATGGCACATGTCTGTAATCCCAGCTACTCAGGAGGCTGAGACAGGAGAATCACTTTGAACCCAGGAGGCAGAGGTTGTGGTGAGCTGAGATCATGACATTATATTCCAGCCTGGGCAACAAGAGCAAAACTCCATATAGATGATAGAATATTAGCCATAAAAAGGAATGAGTTAATGGCATTCGCACCAACTTGGATGGGATTAGAGACTATTTATACTAAATGAAGTAACTCAGGAATGGAAAACCAAACATTGTACGTTCTTACTCAGCAGTGAGAGCTAAGCTATGAGGATACAAAGGCATAAGAATGATATAATGGACTGGGGACTCAGGTGGGAAAGGATTAGGGATAAAAGACTATAAATTGGGTTTAGTGTACACTGCTCAGGTGATGGGTGCACCAAAATCTCACAAATCACCACTAAGTAACTTATTCATGTAACCAAATACCACCTGCTCCCCAAAAACCTGTGGAAAAAAAAATCATGATGTCTGTAAAGTTATACCAAGTGTGCTTGCCTCTTCTGCGTCCTGCTACCTCCTCCACCTCTTCTGCCTCTGCTACTCTTTAGACAACAAGATCAACCCTACTTCTTCCTCCTCCTCCACAGACTCTTCAACACGAAGACAAGAAGGATGATGATCTACTTCCACTGATGAATAGTAAAATATATTTTCTCTTCCTTATGATTTTGGTAGCAACATTTTCTTTTCTCCAGCTTATTCTAAGAAGACAGTATATAATACATATAACATGCTAACCATGTGCCTAACTGTATTATCAGTAAGGCTTCTAGTCAATAGCAGGCTATTAGTTAAGTTTCTGGAGAATCAAAAATTTACACAGGTTTTCAGCTGTGCAAAGGATTGGCACCCCAACTTCTGTGTTGTTCAAGGCCAACTGTACTTACAAACTTTTTGGAATGTACTACATATTGTGAGCCAATAAAAATGTTCATGTAGGCTGGGCATGGTGGCTATTCCCTGCAAACCTAGTATTTTGGGAGGCTAAGGTGGGAGAATTGCTTGAGGCCAAGAGTTCGAAACCAGCCAGGGCAACATAGTGAGACTTCACCTCTACCAAAAACTCCCAGCCAACCAAACATAATCGGGCATGGTGGTACACATCACAAGGCTGAGGGAGGAGGATCTCTTGAGCCCAGGAGTTTGAGGCTGCAGTGAGCTATGGTTATGTCACTGCACTCCAGTCTGGGTGACAAAGTGAGACCCTGTCTTTTTATTTTATTTTTTTCATTTTTTTTTTGTCTTATATATTTATTTAATTTTTTTTTGACCCTGTCTCTAAAACAAACAAAAAATGTTCATGTACTGTGGCTCAGTTATCGCATGCTGAAAATTTTAATTCAACAAAAGAAAAAGATCCATTCAAATTCAACTTAAATTCTAGTATATTAATTTGAGGAAATAATATAACCATTAGAATAGTTTAAGCTCTAATTGAAAAATAAGAATTTAAGATTATAGGTATATTATGACTATAGTATATTAATTTGAATAAATAACATTAGAATAGTTTAAACTTTGAGAATTTAAGATTATACATATGACTAAACCATTATAAAATAAATATATATACATAAAGACATATTATTTAGTTACCATACTGAATGGTAACACACAAAAATAAAAAATGTAGTATTGGCTATAACTCCTTTATAAGGTTTATATTATGCAATTTGTTTGTTTGTTTATTTTTGAGATGGAATCTCGCTCTGTCACCCCGAATGGAGTGTAGCGGCACGATCTTAGCTGGCTGCAACCTCCGCCTCCCGGGTTCAAGGAATTCTCCCTGTCTCAGCCTCCCAAGTAGCGGGGATTATAGCCACCCGCTACCACATCCGGCTAATTTTTATATTTTTTAGCAGAGACGTAGTTTCACCATGTTGGCCAGGCTGGTCTTGAACTCCTGACCTCAGGTGATCCACTGGCCTTAGCCCAAAGTGCTGGAATTACAGGTGTGAGCCAGTGCACCCGGCCTCTTGTTTGGTTTTTGCAAAACAAGGAGAAAATCTTCTCTTCAGAGAATAACACTTAAGGAGACCTTTTGGCTACAGGAATTCAGCATCCTATAGTAAATGTATACAAGAAGGAGGACATTTAAGAATTGTAGTCATGGTAAAATATTCCAAAAACAAAAGAAACGAAGTACCTGATTGTCTTTTACTAAATGACTATGACCTAAATAAGTATGTCTATGATCATCTGGCTTACAAAGACGGCAGGGTGTATTTTGTTGCTTTTTTACACCTCCCAAATAATAAAATTAATGCAGAAATCAGTCAATCTAAAAGTAGAAAACAGGTTTCTTTCTTTTACTGCCACAGTTCACCTGCTGAATACCTGCTTTCCTTCTGAGAGTGCAGAATTTTGGTACATGTCAGAGAGGGGGTTCCTACATGACCGGATCCTGATAAAAACCTTTGGCACTGAGTCTCTTAATGAGGTTCCTTGGTAGACAACATTTCATACCTGCTGTCACAACTCATTGCTGGAGGAATTAAGCAAGTCCTGTGTGACTTGACTGGAATAGGACCCTTTGAAGCTTGCTCCTGGTTTCCTTGAGATTTCACTCTATGCACCTTTCGCCTTTGCTGACTTTACTTGGTATTCTTTCAGTGCACTAAATCACGAACACCAGCATAACCACATGCTGAGCCCTGTGAGTCTTTCTAGCAAACCACTGAAATTGGGGATGGTCTTGGGGACCCCTGACAAGCCCATAAATTATTTCACCTAATCTGCACAACTTCCTTATGGGAGGAAGTTATCTATCCTTACTTTATAGATTAGAAAATGGAGGATCACAGAAATTAAGTAACCTGGAAAAGCACAACCAATGATAAGGTCAGGCTCTGAACACAAACTTTTTGCTTCCAAGTTTACTGCTTGTAAGCTCCCTGGGGGGAGGGAAGAAGAAACTCAAATATTAAAGATTCACAAATAGTAGCTTTCAAGTTGAATGATCTTACAGTAGTTTCAAGTTAATAAAACCTGATCTTTGGCTTTTCTAATTTTTAAAATTAAAAATATGGCATTATAGAGTATGGTAGCGTGGTGGGGCAGGAGAATAAGTACACGCTATTAAAGAATAGTAAATTCTACACAGATTATTATTGTAAACCACTTTTCTGTATTTTTTCTTCTCTCTTTTTCTAACATAGGGTCTTGCTCTGTCACCCAGGCTGGAGTGAAGTGGTACAATCACAGTTTACTACAGCCTCCAACTCCTGGCTCAAGCAATTCTCCTGTCTCAGCCTCCTGAGTAGCTGGCACTATAGGCGCACAACCTACACTTGGCTAATTTTTAAATTTTTTTTTTGTAGAGATGGGGTCTTGCTTTGTTTTCCAGGCTGGTCTCAAACTCCTGGCCTCAAACGATCCTTTTCCCTCAGTCTCCCAAAGTGCTGGGATTGCAGGTGTAAACCACTGTGCCTGGCTTATTTTCTTTTTCAATAGTTCCTTAAGGTCCTTATGTCATACTGTGGTATTAGACAGTCTCAATTTGAAGATCCTGATGCAGAAAACCTTGAATACCTTTTAGTAAAATCTTTAAAGCAGAGTCGCAGTTTATTATGATGTCTGAAGAGCTTTGGGTCACTAGGTATTTCAGACAGAAAAACCTGGGCAACTTCCAAAGGCCCCTGCAAAATAAGAAAATAAAACAAGAAGTGTTGTTTTTTTTTTTTTTTTTTTGGTTATCTCTAAAATCACAGAGACAGGATTCATTCAAACGATTTTTCTTAGCACTGAGATAGCTGCATTTAAGCTTAATGCATATATGCCTATGCCTAAATTAAAGCTCGACAGAGACTGTTCCAGTATTTTCTAATTTCATTCTACATTCTTGTCTACTGCAATTAACTTCTTATTAGTTTATTATTCAAAGAAACAGAATAGGATCTCAAGGAGTGACTACCGTGTTCATTAATGTATTTTGCTTTGTATTTTCCACATTCTTTATTGTATTCTGGATGTAAAAAGTTGTCAAGCTACTACATTTGCCAATCTGCTGATTATCAGAGTTGACTTTGCTCAAACAGCTTCCCTCAGTATTCCAAAGGTGTTCCAGATACCACGTTAAAGAAGATAATCTTGGCTGGGTGTGGTGGCTCACACCTGTAATCCTACCACTTTGGGAGGCCAAGGCGGGTGGATCACGAGGTCAGGAGATTGAGACCATCCTGGCTAACATGGTGAAACCCCGTCTCTACTAAAAGTACAAAAATTAGCTGAGTGTGATGGTATATGCTTGTAGTCCCAGCTACTGAGGCAGGAGAATTGCTTGAACCCAAGAGGCGGAAGTTGCAGTGAGCTGAGATCATGCCACTGCACTCTAGCCTGGGCGACAGAGTGAGACTCTGTCTCAAACAAACAAACAAACAAAAAAAAAAAAGGAAAAGAAGATAATTGTTCATAAGCTACACCATTTGGAAATAAAACCTTAAAATCATGTTTCTAGGTGAAGGTCTTAAGGTATTTATTTCAGTTTTGGTGGGGCATTTTTTAGCTTTGTTCCTTTAATCTGAAAAGTAGTTAAGACATGGTACAGGAAATCTTACTTGAAGACTTTCTGCATTTTCCCTTATCATGAAATCTTCCTAAGACTGGGGCCATACCTAAAATCATTAAGGGAATCTGAATAAACCAACCACAAGAACTAATGGGAATGCCTTTTAATCTGCATATGAAAAAAGAACAATAATTTCTTATGTC